CTCAGCCCAACAAACTGCTCTCATACAGACTCCAGGAAACAGAAGTTAATAGCAGTGCTAATAGCCAGCACTGAATGGCTGGCAAAAATATTCTGCCTCTGCTGTTCCTGAGGAGTAGGAAGAAAAATGCCTTTATTTTTTAACTGTGTAACACCAACCAGGATCCAGTACTCAATCTTCTGACTCAGCATAAGTAAGAAATATGAACAACTGCAGTTACAGAAGTTGTTCTTAGATGTAACAATTCCAGCTTTTAAAAATTTTCACTGATGGTTTCTGTCAGTGACTGCTTCTGTCAGTGAGTAGTCAAACACAGTGCTGCAACACGGACATGATCCTCAAAGTCACACTGTTTATTTGTGGCCCCTCACTGGACAACCCAGTTTTCAGTGTGAGAAACTAACTGTCACAGACAGCAAGTAATTGTTGTCTCTTTCAGACCACAAGCACGCAGCCCACTGTCTGCTGCTACTTTTTGCCAGCATTTCTAGGATATGAATATTAATGAGTAGCAGACCCGAGGGGCCTTCTAATTAGTCAGACAGAATCAAAGAAGGCAGTCATGATGTTTCCATTGTTCATTTATCTCCGCTAGCATCAGTTTCTTGAAGTGCTGACTTGGTGTCTGGGACAAACAGGACAGGCAGAAAAAAATCCACCTGTTGGCTGAATCACTGCAAAGTACCACAGTCCACATAAAGAGGGTTATCACCCAGCTGTACCTTTGCACATGTCGCTGATCCTCTCCTTGAAGACGTTGTGCCCATGGTCATCCACATGGGTCTTCAAGAAGTTCTTGAAGCGGTGGTAGATCTCAAGCCGGGGAGCCGCCATGGAAACCCACTCCCTCACTGAATGCCCTTTCATGTCTTCCAGATTTTCGATGCTCTCAATCATGTCTTCATCCTCCTCCTCTATGCCATCAGCAGCCCGTTCTGCCAGCCGCCTCTTCCGCGAAGGACGGTCTTCATCTTCATCGTCGCTGTCTATGGGTTGGGAAGACAAATCGGTCAGAGTTGAGTTTCCCATTCTCCCTCTTTGGAATGGTCATGGATGAACTGCAATGGGCTGAGGAAGCAAAGAGGCTGGCACTTACAAACCAAAAACTACCCCAGGCCCAGCCAAACTCCAGTTCAGCTCCACCTAATTTCTGCACCTTCCACGATAGCTGAAGTCTTTAAAGGGGAAGATTTGTAATCAACAGCACTCAAACATGTCCATTAACATACCAAGGAAGCAAGTCCAAACAACATACTTCTAAGCGCATCAAAGGCCCTCCCACCCAGCCCACAGAAGCCTCTGTCATCTCCACCTACCATAGAGCAGCCCCCTCCTCATGCGGCCCATGCCCTGCTCCAGCTCACGGTCCCGCTGCCTCATCACTCTCTCTGCAGCTTCCCGCTGGCTGGCAGTCAGCTCCTCCACATCTTCATCATCCAAGGCCAGGCCCTCTGCCTCGTAGACATCCAGCTCTGGAATGGGCCGGTAGTCCCTAGGGCACACACGCAGCATTGAAACAAACTCCAGAAGGCATTTATCCAGCTTCCCTTGGCTATCAGTGAGTCAGGACAGATGAACTGCATCAGACGGAGCCCACGGGACAGGAAGGAGCAAGGGGAGATGCCCTGCAGTATGAAAGGCTCCAACACCAGGATTACAAATGCCAGCACTGAAGTCTCTGTATTGTACAGTTCTCTGGCTAGTTGGCAGGTCTGGCTGAGTAGCAAAGCATTAACATTTATGGTTGCAAGAGCAAGGAGCTGGGCTCGATGCGCATCCTATACCTCAAGATCCAGGTTTATTGTCCCTAGATCACAATAGCACTTTGCCCCTGGTTTGCGATGTGTTCTGTGCTTCCAGAACTTTACACCATCACGCCCTGACTCTTCTTTCCTTACCACCCAGCAGCACTTCAGACCCTTCATTAGGCTACCAGCACCCACTGCTGGTCCGCACTGAGAATCCCAATAACAAAACCCCACCTACAAACGCAACTCCCCAGATGCTAGCTCTCAGCGGCCTCCTTACCTCTCCATCCCCTCTCCGATGAGCTCTTCTCCTTCTTCTTCCTCTTCGGGGAGCCCTTCGGTGCCCAGGAGCCCCTCGGACTCATCCTCGAAGGGGGGCAGGTCCCTGCCGGGGCTGGACGTGAACGCATCGCCGCGGCGGGAGCTGCGCACGGGGCTGGTGACCGCCGCCTGCGATTCGGAGGAGTCCTACAAGGAGGGGAGGGCGGGTGAGGGCGGCTGGGGAGCGGGGCTGCTCCTCCCCGCCACCGGGCCAAGGGGGCTTGGTGCTTCCGGAGGGCCGAAGGGGAATGCTGCTCAGCAATGAGTCCTGCTTCCCGAAAGGGGAAAAATTAAAAACGTTCCCTACAAACTGCAACGGAAAGACCTGAGAACCAGGTCCGCTGAGCCCGGAACAAAGGAGAAGGTCTCTGAACCGCCCCAATGCTCCCTTCTCCGATACAGGGCCACCGGGAGACTTCTCAAGACAACCGGCAACCCCCGCGCCCCCCGGAATGAATAAATAAATACAAAGAAAAAAAATCAACAAACGCCTCCCAGGGCAGAGAGGAATCGAGCTTTGCGTCCCGAGCCCGCCCGCCCTTTCTCCCCAAGCCCCGTTCCGGCCGCTCACCGCCATCGCTGCTTCCTACCCCGCCGGATTCCGCGCGAAAATGCACCACGTGGGCAGCAAAAGCGCGCGAAACCTCATGAATAATGAATATATCTGCCGCTTGCCCCGCCCACCTCGTGAATATGCATGACCAAATTTCCTCCTGCTCGACCAAACCCGCGCTCGGCCGCGGGCAGCGTGGCGAGATCGGGCAAGAGCGGCTTGAATTGGGCGCTCAGCTTCTCGGAAAGCTGCGTTGGGCAGCTAAACCTGTCAGTAAATTGAGGCAGCTGCAAGGACAGGGTTCCTTCTGCTAGGCCCACTGACATGAAGGGTGCGAGTCGGGACTCAGAGGCTCAGCTGATACTTGGAAACTGCTACAGACACAAATAGTGTCATGACACTGTTTAACAGATCAAATTCTCCACTTCAAAATGCTATTTTTCAACATAGTTGCAACAATTAGCTGTGTGTTTTCCATCAGCAGTGCTGGACAATCTTCACGCCGCGGTCGTAAAATCCTGCAGCAGCAGGAGTCACTGCTGAACTGTCACTGTCACCACTGCTGAGCTGCACGACCCAGTGTCTCACTGTGCTCACTGCTGGCAGAAAGATTCAACCTCTAGTGCCATCCCACAACATCCCCCTCTGATGCCATGAGCCAGTATCATCATACAGGAGGAAACGCCTTCAGAGCAGCCTTTGTAACACTGGGCACAGAAGCATGTATCTATTTCAGTCAGTGTGGCAACTACTTGAAGGGGCACTATGCATAATTCCTTAATATCACATATTGCTACAAGCCTGTGACCAGAAGAGCAGCATAGACACCATGAATAACTAGATGTTCTGGCTGATGCATTCACCCTCTCTTCCCATAGAGTAGCTGGGCCCCAGGTATGCACTCAGCGCCCACCAACAAACCAAACTGGTGTGGTGTTAGCCATACCTGTGCTGAAACTGGAGCAAGGGGCACAGGGCTAACCTCTGCTGCAGCAAAGAAGGGCGTTTTGATACGCTGGCTAAACGCAGGCTTCTCAACAGCCAAAAACATGCGGCCTTACTTTCCTTACTTTACTTTGGATAAAGGCAGCTGAGAAGAGGATTGGAAACCAGGTGTTTACCTGGGATTTCTTGTATATCCTTCAGCGTCCGATACCTTGAGTTGCTTACTGAACAAATTTAATGTGCAAATAACTGCTAATAAAATAAAACCATAGACCCCTGTGAAGTACTGTCTGCTGTAAATCCACTGGGGGAGGCTACTGAAATCCCAGAATGATCCAAAGCAGCTGAAACAGTATGGATATCCCTAAAGCCAGAAGCTAAGCCCGCAAGACAAAAGCACTACCTCCTAAAAATGGAAGGTAGGAGAGGAACTCAGCCTCTGACTGGAAAGTTGTGACTCACAGGCTGTTATGGGAATGCTGTTCACACTGCTGTACTGCACTTCTGCCAGCCAGAAAGCCTCACTCCACAGAATGTCAGGTGGTTCAGGATCAAAGGGCTGTAAGTCCAATTGTGATGGAAGTACATCCCCTTACGGAAAGCCCACATACCCTCCTTTGTGTTGGAGGACAAAAACCCCAAAACTGGAAGGAAAACACCGTGGTGTTGGACTGTGCTCTGCCAGGACTTTAAAAATAGCCCCATCATATTTGGGAACCAGCTTGCTAAGGAACTGGAGGGATGGCAGCACAAATGGCTGGAAGCTACACTGCGCCAGTGTGCAGATGAACTTCTTATAGGTGCTGAGTCAAGGGAGGAAATAACACAAGTGACAACAAGTCTCCTGAATTTTCCGAGCTCTGTGGGATGCAGAGTATCAAAGAAGAAAGCACCAATAGCTTGTCAGTTTGTGATTTATGTTGGTTTTACAATCCCTTGGGGATACCAAAGCCTAATAATGGGTGAGCTCAAGGGGGCTGTATGTCAAATACCAGGAAGAGACCAGCGGGCTATTTCTCTAGACAACTGGACCAAGAAATATAGGGTGGATGTCCTGTTTACAAACAGTGGCAGCAGACCTGAGGCACTGCCTGAATGCTGGCCCACTCCACAGCCAGCAGCAGCTCTGGGGCTGCCCACGTGTCCCAAACATAGTGACATCCCCAAGTTAACAAAAACAATCCCAGAAGGGGCTGCAGCTGCCAGCCTGACATCCACCACGTTGTGCATTGGAAACACTGCACCCTGCTGGTGTCGGAGCCAGAACCCAGCTCAGCCTGAACCGGGCCGTGAGGAGGAAGGAATGGGTTGGCTGCTGGGGGGAAGAGATCCCTGTGGTTGCAGCCCCTAAAGCTGCCCACCTTTGGAAAGGCAGAGAAGAATGAAACCGACAGTGGCATGATGGAACTCTAAGTTTTATTGTGGATGTTTATGGATCTGATGACAGCAAATGGAGCTTTTACACAACTGTTTCTGTTGCATCATTAGGGCCGGCTGTGGATATGCTGGGCCCGACGTGGTACCCGGGAGCGGTTTCTCCCCTGGGGTGGCCCTCGCCGCCTGGATTGGCTCCTGCGGCGATTTCGGGGCTGGCTGTGGATCTCTGCAGCCCGATGTTCAAGAGGGGAGCGGCTTCGAGTCCGCGCCCGCCCTGGCTGCCGGGACCAGCTTCCTTCAGCCGCTGTGGAATCCCCTGAGGACCGCGGTGCTCTCGGTGTGGTGTAGCTGTGGGTGCAGCTCTTAGCACTTGGTGCCTGTCTGCTCCCACGGCGTGTTTGGGGCTGGCTTGGAGAACCTTGGGCCCGGCGCTGCAACGGAGAGCGGCTTCGTGTCCGGGCCCGCTGTCCCTGTCTGCACCAGCGGTTGTAGCCAAGTTCTGGGGAGTGCCTCGAGGACTCTGATGTCCTACGGCTGGCAGAGTTTAGGGAGCTGCTCCCAGCAATCGGGGCAGCATTACGGCAGCTCCCACGGCCTCCTCGGGGCTGATTGTAGGTGTTCTCCTCCCGGCTTAAATGCGGGCGGATTCTCCTCCGGCCCGTCCTGCGCTGGCTGGACTGGCCACTGCTCACAGGCACATGGGAACAGTCAGCTGACCCTGATGGTGCCTGGCTGGTGGTGCTGGAGCCTTGGGAAGGCCCTGGTTCCTGCTGGGTGATGGTGCTGAGTCCAGCACTGTCCAAATTTGTGTTGGAGTCTGCAAGGGGAGGCAGGATGGTGAGCAGGATTGACCTGTAGCACTGAGGTGTTACAGGCTTCTATCCCTCGTGGGCCAGAGGGACTTTTGCCTCTTACCGATGCCCTCTCCAGCACAGGTGTTGCACTCCCACTCGGTTGTGCTGTGACTCAGGTAGGAACAGCGCCGATGAGTCCCTTGTGCAGCACAGGAGCTGCAGAGGAGCAGCTCCCAGGGCCTGGGGAAACCAATGGGTTGTGGCCGTGAGGACAAAGTGATCTGAGCCAGGGAGTGCCCAGCACAGCTCTGGTGCTCGGTCCGTGCTCCCCCAGCCTGTGGTGAAGCTGGGATCCCACGCAGAGCCCCAGAAGGCTGCTGAGGTAACTCACCCTTCTTCCTCTTTCCAATCTCTGCCGTGTGGATTAAGGCAGTCAGTGGCATCACAGTGCTGGTGCCTAACTCCCAGGGATGCAAAGGCATCGTCGTCCTCCCATGTTGGTCTTCTGCCAGAGGAGAGAGGGAATGCGATGATCACTCACTGCCCCAGGACTAAAACTAATCCATGGCATCCCCCCTGCTCCGCTCTATGCCCAGTTCCAGCTTCCCAATGATGCTGAGGCCCGTGTTAAAGGCTGTACAGGGCCAGGCCTGCCAGTGCAGTCCCTTGCCAAGGACAGCTCTTGTGCCATCACATCTCAAGTGCTGGCTGAAAGACACCAACCTGAGTGGGATTCGGATCCCCATGGCGAGCATGTCTGCAATAAAATAGTCCCTGTCTCTGCAGAGGGAGCACTGGAAGCAGTCAATCCCTGCGCACAGGGCCTGCTCCTGCACCAGAAACACAAGCAACGTGAGTGTGAGCCGGGCCTGGTGCTGCTGAGCGCTGACCATTCCCACAGGGCGAGGGGAGTGCTCCTACCTGGATGCACGCCCGGTGGAACCAGGCGTGTTGGCAAGACGGGCACACCATGGTGCTGTATGACTTGCTGTCACCTACGGGGTCCATGCAGATGATGCAGGTCGTGTCCTGCTCCGGCACTGCCTCCACTGCCTGCTGCGGGCAGTGCTCACAGCAGAAGGACCTGGGGGGAAGATGGGAGGGATGGGCAAGGTGAGAAGTGCTGAGAGGGGGGCAGAGGAACAGGAACGAGCCCCAGGCCTTGGCTCTGGCTGTGTCAGGCTGCTGGGAGGTGTCACAATGCCTCGTGTGTTCCTTGCTTCTTTGGCTGCTGCTGACAGGAGGGTTTGGGGGCTCACAGGCAACACCTGGCAGCCCTTACCTGAACTCTCCAAAGTACTGGGTGATATATTCACCCTCTGAGGCACAGGGGAGATGGAAGCTGCGGTCACAGTCTGGCTCCGCGCAGGTGATGAAGGCCCCCCTCTTGCCACAAATGAAGCAGAGCTGGAAAGAGCAGAGCAGCCCCCATCAGCAGCAGGCTCAGGGCCTACACAGCAGGCCCCGCACCTCTGGAGAGGGCACAGGGTGCAGGCAGGGCTGGGTGGCACTCAGCAGAGCTGCCCAGTGAACAGGGCTCATCTGCAAGAGCAGGAATTTCTCCTGGATCGGGTTGGAAGAGCTGGGATTGCTTTCTTTTGACCAGGCTAAGCAAGCAGTGCCTGTCCTGGCACAAAGCTCCCTGTTCTGGTCCAGTGCTCACCTTCTTCTCTGCCTGTCTCACTGCGCTTATCAGGTCGTGTAAATAAAATCTTGCACTGTCGCTATCTGATCCTGGTTGACAAAGATCATTGGCAGCTTTCTGTACAAGAGGAAAGAGCGTGATCTTGTTAGGGCAGAAAGGAGGGAATCACTAGTTGGAGGAAGGTGTCAGGAGCCACATTGGAACCCACCACACAATACATATGGAAATAGTATCCACTGTGCTCTTCTTTGCACCCAAGGATGCTGGAGTCATCATCCACTTGGCCACACAGCACACATGCTGGAGAAGAGAGTAACAGCAGTGAGCGCCTTGATGGGCCAAGTTGCCCCTGGGGGCTCTCCTAGGGGCTGCTCTGTGCCAGCCATGCCAGCTGAGAGGCAGGGCTGGAGGCTGTGGAGGGGAAGGGGCACTGCAGGCCCAGCGGTGCCAGCAGCCAGCCATAGCCCAGCTGTGGCCCTCCTGGCAAGGAGCAGTGGGACCCTGCCCGCAGATGCTGGGGAGCCCCTGCGTGCCTCCGTCTCCCCTCTCTGCTGCAGGCAGACCCCCAGCACCCCTCTGCCCAGTGGTGGGGAGCTGCATGCAGGGATACTTTGCTCTCACCTGGCTCCCTCGAGCCAGTGGCCTCCTGCGTCCCCACGCACACTGTGCGTATTGACGGAAACCACTTGCAGAGTCCCTGTCCCATCACTGCTGGGCTTTGTCCTCCGCGTGCCAACCTGTGGGAGAAGCGGGATGAGGCTGAGTTTGCAGCTAAGGCCCCCGAGCACTGGGGAACACTCCTCGCTTGGCAGCCTCAGGCAGCCCCTTCCTCTCTGCTCACCTCACCAGGTTGCACTCAGCTTGGCCTGAGCCCCACAGCCTTAGCTCAGCTCCACATCCCACGTGTCTCAATGGCCGTTCCATGCCACCCTCTGTGATGTCATCACACCTCACAGGGGCTGAGGGCACCCAAGCAGGAGGGTGGTGGCTCTTGCAGCCAGCCCAGAGCAAGGGGCCTGGTGCCGGATGCAGCGCTGCTGGAACCTGGCTTGTTGGTGCTGCTGAAGGCACTGGGTGACACGTCCACCCTTCTGGCCCCACCTGAACGCTGCCGGGCCTGTTGCTCCATCAATATCCCAGTCAAGCCTTTACGTGTTTCCATGTTCTCGAGGCTTTACTTTTTGGTTGTTCGCTGCTGATTACCTCTGGTTACAATAAATGACTCGATTCACAGAATCACAGAATCTATGGTTGCCAAAGACCTCTAAGATCACCAAGTCCCACCGCCCAGCAGCCCACGTTCCTCAGTGCCACATCCCCATGGTTCAGGAACTCCTCCATGGACGCTGACTCCCCCAGCTCCTGGGCAGTTGTGCCAGTGCCCGACCGCTCTTTCAGCAGAGATGTTCTTCCTGATATCCAACGGGGACCTCCTCTGGCTCAACTTGAGGCCATTCCCTCTCATCCCATCGCTGCTACGTGGGAGAAGAGGCTGACCCCCACCTCGCTACAACCTCCTTTCAGGGAGTTATACGGCCTCCTCCGGACTCAACAATCCCAGTTCACTCTGCCGCTCCTCATGGGACTTTTGTTCCAGACCTTTTCCTGCCCCATTGCCCTTCCATGGACCCACTGCAGGGCCTCCACGTCTTTCTTGTTGTGAGGGGCCTGGAACAGAATACAGCACTTGAGGTGAGGCCTCACCAGTGCTGTCTACAGGGGCACGATCACCTCCCTGCTCCTGCTGGCTGCAGCATTTCTGCTACAAACCAGGATGCCCTTGGCCTTCTTGGGCACCTGGGCATGGTGCTGCAGCGCTGCGGTGCTGCCTGGGGTTATCGTGGCCAAAGAGCAGCAGCCAGCACTTGGTCTTCTTGGGCCTGATCCAGTTGTGCTCAGCCCATCCATGCAGCCATCCCGACCCCCCTGTAGGGCCCTCAAACAGATCAGCGTTTCTTCCCCACTGCCATCAGCCTGGACTCCTCTGGAGCACCACTCGCATCTTTTCCTCAACATTTGTACTTTGTGTTAGCAAGTCCTTATCATCAGCATGTGGGTATTGAATTACTAGAAATTTAGGTAGGTCACTCCAAAAATAATGCCTCCCCTATTTACTTCCTGACAGCTACCCTGTGTCCTGTTCGAGGGTGTCCCTGTGTCCTTCCCGGAGGTGAATGCAGCTGGATTCCAAAAACCTGACTGTCAAAGCATATCACCAGGATTTCGCAAAGTGGTGGAGGAGCACTGGGGACTGAGCTCCCCTCCTCATAGAGAGGGCAGACACTGGAATACAGACCATTGCATGCCCTGTGGTGCAAATTTAAGGCTTGCAGCAGGCATCAGCAGGTTAGCACAGGGGCTTTGAAACAATGTGTGCACATCTGTAGTCCCTCTGCAGCTGTATAGCCACACAGTTTACGATGGGAACTAATATTCTGCCCAGTGGGCTGATAAGCTGAAAAGTATTTTAGAGAGACAGGTGTCATATAAGAATGGAATTTGGTGACAGGAGAGCATAATACTATCTTGGAAACCACACCTGCAGTCAGGTGAGGCTTCGGTGCCAAAAGACAACAGTGAACCGAGGAAAACACCAAGGGGCAGCCCTCCCCGGGGCCCTCAGGGTTCCACCAAGTCTGTTAAGTATCACCCTTTGTCTTGCTTCCACCTGTGACACAGCAGGGACCCACCAAGCAAGCCCTGCCACCTTTATGCACAGGGCTGCAGAGATGGCACAGAGCATTCTTCTGTTTGAGAGGCAGCTTTTACATCTGCTGGGCTGCACCCTCAGAGAAGTCAAGTGGAATGAACAGGTGAACTGGGAAGCAAAACCTTCCCTCCTGACACAGCCATGCAGGAGGCCACGCGTGCCACTAGCTAAAGCCTGGTGGTGAGGCAAGAAGACATAACTCCCATTCCTGGAGATATTTTAGCCAGAACATTCTGCTTCTTCTTGAGCAGAGGTGCCCCTGCTGTAACTCAGAGATGTTGTACCTGCTGACTGTCAGAGCACAGACCTGCAAACAGCCAGCACTAAAACTTCACAACGCATCATTAACCTGAGCAATGATGTAAGGGAAGAGACATAGCAGGGACATGCCGAGGGCCGGCTTCTGTAGGCATTGTTCTAACAGCATGGCACAAGCACAAAGCCTCAGCTCCATGGGAGCAGTGGGCCGAGGCCGACCCCGAGCAGGCAGCCCCACACCACACACAGCCCTCCCCCCCATCGCACAGAGGGCCGCTCTGCACCGCGAGCCCTTAAATGGCGGCCGCCCGCCGCCGAGCCCCGCCTCCCGCCGCTTCCCATAGGCCGGCGCCCCGATTTCTTTCCACCTCCCCCAACTGCCTGGGTTGGGCTGTTTCGGGGCTCCTGTTTGAGCGGCTCTGCCGGGCTTAGCCGGAAAGGCTGCGCTTTGCTGCTCCTGCCGCACGCAGCTGTCTGTCCGCCCTCTTGCGCGGCGCTCCCCGGCCGAGTGGAGCGGCGGTGCGGGGCCTGGCATGGCGGGTGTGGGTCCCTGCGACTGAGCGCCGCCTGCAGGAAGGCCGGGCCGGGAGGGCTGCGTCTTGCGGCGGGTAGGAGCGGGTCGGGCGGCGGAGGGGGGCTGTGGGGACGCGGCCCGGGCCTGGCTGCGGTTCTCTGAGCCGGCGCGGTGATCGGGGGCCCGGCGCGGGGCGTTAGGCTCCGTCTTCCTTTTCCTGGCCTCCTCCCCGCTGTCCCGGCTGGGCTCGGGCCTCGGCGCCGCGCTGTGCTCACGGCCTGTGCCCGGGGCTGCGTCGCTCGAGGCGCTCTGGAGCGCTCCGCCGCCTTCAGCTGCCCTTACGGCGGGTGGTTCTTGTTCGTGTGAGGTGTCCCCGTGCTGCTCCTTTCTTCCTTTGCCTGGAAGAAGAACGGGAAGCCTATCATATAGTGTTGCTCCCGAACGAGCTTGGTGTTCTGTCCTGTTTGGGTTACTGGTGCTCTTGGTGCTTTTTTTTTTAGTGTTGTAGTTCCTCTCTTTTAGAGTTTTGTCCTGACGCAGAAGCAATAGTGAAAGTTGGAGAGAAGGGAGTTGAGCCCTGTCAGGACAGACGTGCCACCTGTTTGTTTGAGACTGCGATGTGAATGGCAATGGCTTTGATCTAGTGGGAGATCTGAACAACTGTCTTTAAAGGGGAGCGAAGAAAAAAGGTTTCCCTTTCTCCTTGAAAGCTGTGTAACCTATTGGAGTAATGCTTTCATTTAAGCAGGGATCTGTTAAGTACATCTCTCTGCCACTCGCATCCGGAATTGTAGGCAGCAATTCCAGCCCTGATGTGGTCTGTGCTTTCCGATGCTGTTTTCAGAAAGAAGGGAAACAATCAGTTTCATTAAACCTGGAAGTCTGGTAGGTGTGTGTGACCACATCCATGAGGTTGAGTTTTGAGACTGCAGATATCTGCTGGTAACCTGAGCCTCAGTTTTCATTGGTTACACTATGTGTCCTGAACCAAAAAGCAGAATCCCCTTACTAAGAGGCAGCTGCCTGGCCAGGAGGTGCAGCTGAGCCTCCAGCGCTGTGTCTCAGTGCCTGGATGGAGAAACACTGCTCAGCTACATCAGGCTCGATTCAGCTGTAATATAGCAAACTCCTTATTTCCTTTCGTTTTCCAGTGTATGGCAGTTCAGGCTGTCTGTCAGAAGGGAAGCTGGGTTGGGCTGTGGGGTGCTGATGTGTGGCTGTGGGGTGGCTTCAGCTCTTCTGTGTGGGCTGAGCTGGCGGCTCTGGGCAGGGTGTGGTGAGTGAGGGCTATGCTCAGCTAACTGGGTTAGTTCAGATGAGCTGGGGCATGGGTTGGAAAGTGCAGCAGGGAGCAATGGTGCTGGGTGTGATGAAGGCTGTTTCCCGGGCATCAGTTCCCAGTGCCATTGCTGTGGGTTTGTTGCTGGTGGCCTCAACCAGAATGGGGCAGTTCTCAACATCTTCTCTGTGGTCTTTGGCTATGAGAAAAGCATGACGTGTGCTGTGAGACTGATGGCTCTGGCTGCCCTTCATGCCCTTGTATGTTGGGCGTTGTGCTGCTCTGCTTTTGTAGGATAGTAACACCAGGCCATAGTGAGCAGCCTGGCATGGAGGTAATCTCAATTCTGCTTTGCCCTTTGAAACCTTGTGACTGAGGCTGGCTGTTGCATGTGGCCAACTCCTCTCCTTATCAGCAGCTCACTGCTGTTGTGTGATAGCGATGGATTCTAGGGAAAAAGGTTGAAGTCTCCTTGTTCGTTTTCTGAGGACATGTTTATTTTTCCAGGTAGGTCTGCAGCTTTATAATCAAACCCTTTTCACTGGGATTTCCCAAGTCAAATTCTTTGTCCCAGTAGCAGTTAGAGGTGTCATGGTTCACAGCTGATGTAATTCTACCCATGCTCTGTGAGTTTTCTCTATCCTTTCCCAGCATTTGTAAATTTCAGAAGGAATAAAAAATTCTTCTGCATTGGTAAATATGAATGTATTTGTCTTTGCTGCTACTGAGATGTAGAGGTCAGTGAAAGTGTTTCAGAAGAGAAGAATGAAGTGAAGTTATTTACAGGAAATCCTCAATGGTGTCAGAGGAGTGAGTTACTGGAGGGAAGAGAAGACACTTCTGGGGAGTTCTGCAGTGTGGAGGTGGTTTGCTGGAACCCCCGCTAGAACTAAGATCATTTGGCACAGATATTGCCATCTCAGCACAAAGTTGATCTTTCCAGGTCTGTGTGTTTGTTTAATGACATCTCTCATGCAGCACAGCATATGGCAGTTGCACAGGAGAATTTCATCCCAGTGAGTATCTGTCAATGTGGGTGAATCAAAGGGAGGGTTTGTTAGCTAGGAGTGGCATGGGTACCCCGTGTCCTCAGAAGACTGAAGACAAATCTCAGCCTCTGAAGAAAACTCTGTGCCCTGGAGACCTGGGCAGTTTGTGGGGAAGGTGCTACTGAGCTCTGAAAGCTCCAGAGGTGGTGCAGGGCTGTGCTGCTTGTTCTTTCTGACCTACCAGGGAAATGACCTGCTGACTCCTGGCATTGAGGCTGTTGGCTTTGCTATGCCAGCCAGGGTTAAATTCAGACAGGGAGAGATGTCTTCTTTTAAGATGAATTCTGGATTGACCGCGGCACGCAGTGCTGTCTCTGGCTTTGTGCATTTTTGGGATGGCAGTTGGTAGAGATGGTTCAGTTTGTGTCATCTGCAGCCACATTCCTGGAGGGTGCAGGGGGATGTGATGGGACCTTCAGCACACTGCTGGTCAAGTGTATTTAGCAGTGAGAGTTGCTACTTTAGGGCAAGAAGGGGGAGGATCTGCACAAGCTGACAACACTGAATCAGGAGAAAGTTTACTAGTCAACCTCTAATCCTGCTCTACAGTGAACCAGCATTCATCCAAGCTTCTAAGGTGACCATGGAATCAACAGAGAAACTGCAGCTATTACTTACACTGCTACAACATTTACAAAGCCACTGGGCACAAAACATGTGGAGCTTTCTGGAGAACAGAGTTTCTGTTCATCTTCTGTAAGGACAGCTAATAGTACAGCAGTGTAGGGCCTGGGGGTGGGCAGATGGCAGAAAAGATAAGAAAGTTCTCTGTGGTAGGCAATTCAGAAGCACCTAATGAGGAGAATGGGAAGCTCTCTCTTGTCCTTTTCCAGGTGCCTGGAGAGGGCTAAGACAGGGCAGGCAAACAAGCTAAGCCCCACAATTCATTTTGAGTTCAGAGCTCTTTGGTGCCTGGGAGTTCAACCCAAAGAAAAACACATCAGGTAGGGACAGCTTCTGAGCCTGGGTTTGTGAACTCCTGGGTTTGTGTGCATCCAGGTGCTGATCGGTGTCTGAGAAGTGCGATGTGACCTGGATGGGGGGGTGTGACGAAGGTGGAGAACTTGATGCTAGTAGGATATAGGAAGGTGCCAACTTTACACATCTTTACTGTTCTGATTTTAAAATCAGAATAGTTCTGGTGTCTTGCAGAGAGAAAAATGCTGATTTCTTTTTTTTTGCTTTCTTGATGTTGATTTCTGAATATAGTGCATACAGTCCCTGTAGATAAAAGTATGTGGGGCTCTGACTGTAGGTTTGGTAACAGCAATAGGTTTTAGTTATGAACCTTCAACTTGGCTTTTGTAGGAATTAATTTGTTGACTTCTTGGGCTTGGGATCTAGAATAATTGATGCTCTGATGCAGCAGGGTTTTTGTCTGATGATGCCATGTATTGCTGCTGAGCTTTGGTTTATTCTATCAATCTGCCAAGGCTCAAGTAATCACTGTTTGAAGGTGCATTTTACTCTGATACAAGATGCTGATTTTTATACTGTCTGCCCTAATGGCTGTGTGCAGAGTGAAGGCAGGTGTTATTCTGTTGTGTCATGCAGTCTTTCTGATTATAATAATTTGCAGTAACAAGCAGGAAGCAGTTGTGTGGGGGCCTAATGGAAGGGATATACTTTTTTAGCTCTGACTCACAACTGCTTTAATGTTCTCTTTTCTCTGCTGCTGTTGTCCCGTGCCACGTTTGACCTGAACTTGCAAGGAGGCAGGATATTCCAGTCCATGATGTCCATGATGAGATTCTCCTTGTCTGACAACATCACAAGTTCTACTGCCCTGGTGACAGCACTGGATAATGTGACAACTTTGTCTCCAACGACAGCACAGGCAATCAATGGCACGAACATCACGGTGCCACACAAATGCCTGCTGTTGCTTTATGAGGACATTGGGAAGTCCAGGTGAGAGACAAAATGGGGTCACAGGCTGACTGTGGGATTCTTGCTTTCTCGGTGTTTGGGTGAGCAGGGCAGGGCCGGTCCCTGGCCTTCTTGGTGCTGCAGAGCAGGACAAAACTTTTCTATTTACTTTTTGCAGAGTCCGCTACTGGGATCTTTTGCTCCTGGTTCCCAATGTGCTTTTCTTTATGTTTCTTCTCTGGAAGCTGCCCTCTGCCAGGGCCAAAATCCGGGTCACTTCCAGCCCTATCTTCACTACATTCTACATACTAGTGAGTACTGCTGTGTGCTTTTGAACTGATTGATGGAGTGTTTTTTATTACCACTCTTGACCAGTATCACTGAACCAGTGGAGAGAGAGAGCCTAGACCAAATCTAACATTTGAAGGTGTACTAGCAGGAATAGACTTCTTGCTGTTTGAACTCTACTTTTCAGCTTCTGGTAATGTCCATATCTAGATATGGTGGATTTTTTCTATGGTGATTTTGTTTTTTTCCCCTGCACGCTTTCTTCTGTTTGTCACTGTCTTGGAATCCAGTATCTTCTTTTTCCTTGTTTCCTGCATCATGTCACATGACACAAAACCATTATCTCACTGTGTTCATGTATGTGAACCACTGAAGAATAATGAACAGCTCCATACATAACTGCTACAAAATTAAGAAATACTACCAGCAGTTTCCTATGCGGATTTAAGTCGTCTCTTACATCTCCAGTTATACAGGGAAGGTCAGTAAAAAACTCATTCTGAAGTCTTTGAGAAACAAAACTCCTCAGAAACCGCAGGGAAGAAAAAGTGAGCTGACTGCTGTTGGCTCTTTCAAAACAGTGTGAGAAGCAGAAAGTGATGAAACAGTCTTAGAGAAAAGTGCTTTTCAGTCAGTTTGATCTTCTGGATCGGTTTTGGAAATGAGGATAAGTGTGTTCAGTGAGGATTTCCTCTCAGGCAGTTGTTTGTCACGTTCTGAAGGAATGCTTTCTTGTGGAGTCAGCGGTTAAAGCTAAGCTGATAGCTTTGTAAGATTCTCTCTCTGTTCAGAGGAAAACACCCTTTTTGCTTCCTGAGTTGTTCCTGCTCCAGAACCCTTCTGTAGGACCCTTCTTTTTTTGTCAGTGTTTTGTCCAAGTTTTCCACCCCAGAAGGGAATGTCACATTGTTATTCTTTGAGCTGTTTGCATCTCCCTTTTCTCTGAGGAGGAAGCGTTCTGCTGCAGATGGCTTATTGGTTGATTTCATCCATCTTGAAATCAGACTGTACTTTTCATTCTGTGTTAGACATGACTGTTTCATACCTTCATCATTAGTGTATCTAAGCCTGTAGCTTGGAGAATTGTATCTGGGAAAATCTGTGTTCTCAGAGAGGAGGTCTGCCCAGCAGAGGGTAGATGTGTCCAGCTCAGCTCTTATTTGCATGGTATGGCTGTGGCAGCACAGTGACTGGTGGATTAGCCTTGCTGAGCTCTGTGCTGCCATGCTTAAATGGTGTGAGCTGGTATCTTAATGCTGCACTGTGCAGTAAGCTAAGTTGCTTTAAAGCAGTTATCTGCATTGCCTTATCTTTTGCATTCCTGAGCACTGTCAGTGTTGAGTGTGGAGAAAAGCCAACTGTGTGGATTTCAGCTTTATCACAGATCTGAAATGTGGTAGCTGGTATAAAGTGGCTTCTGTTATCTGATGGGATTGGGTTATTCAGTCATACCAAGCACTTGATCTTCTAATTTGGAGAGATGTATTTTTCATCTGATTGCCCCCAGTGAACTGAAAGGTGGGGAGAATGACTGTAAGAGCATCGTTGTAAGGGAGTGTTTAATCTGATAGCTGAAGAAATGTGCACCTTCATGAACTCTAAGCCAGTATTTCTGTACCTGACAAGCCTTTGGGAAGTTAACTCAAATATGTTATTACATTATGTCCTCAGTGCACATTATCAGGCTTCAAAACTGGCCTGGAAATAGAATTCCAAGAAGGTATCCTGTATATGGTAATGTGCCTTTTGACTTGAGCTCTTTTTTGCTGCTTTTTTCCTGTAGGTGTTTGTGGTGGCTTTAGTTGGTATTGCCCGTGCTGTTGTCTCCATGACTGTGAGTGCCTCTGATGCTGCCACAGTTGCTGATAAGGTAGGTACAGTGCTCTTCTGGAGGCTCTGCTTTGTGCAGTTCTGGCCATGGTTTTGCCACTGCTTCCCATTTATTTGCTTGCAAGAAGAACGTGTTCTTATTTGCAGTGCTCATAGCTGTGTTTACTATGAAATCCTGTTCCTCTAGCTGTATCTAAGCAGTCACAACCTCTAAGACTGTAAAACAATGGACTTCCTAGTTTAGACACACAAATGGTGGTAACGCTTTCCTGTTGCAGAGATAGAAAGCTCTGCCTTGCGAGAGCTAAGCAAACATTCAGATACTTTTAGTGGATAGGCGAAGTGTGGCTTTTGATGCTCTTGCTCTGTTTGAAGGGCTCTTGGAAAAATACTGAACTTTCTTGTATTGAAAGCAAATAAAACAACTTTTCCTTTTTGAACTGATAGCTGAATGTCCTTGCAGTTCCTCTGAGCACAGGGTGAACCCTTAACAAACAGGAAATAGCCTTGTGTGTGCTGTTCCTTTGTAATGATTGCAACGGAGTGTTACCTAAAACAAAAAGCTCTGCTGATCTTGAGGTGCTGGAGGGAGAAGAACCACCTGCAGAGTATGAATCTTCTGCCTTTGTTGTTGAGGATCTGTGTGGTTGTTCTGCTTTTCCCTTTAATGTTACCTGCCAGAGCATTTTAAGGCTCTGCTTGTTGTGTGGCCGGATGTTTGTGGCATTTTCACTCACCTGTGTTGAACAGACAAAAGTCCAGGACTTGAATAACGGAGAAGAGATGAGAGGTGGCTTTTCTCAGCTCTGCTGGTACTGCTGCAAAGTACACTTGCTCAGAAGTGTAGAAAGACAGACACTATGTTAATTTTTTCCTGCAGAAAAAATATTTTACTCCTATTATTTTTTTCTTTTTCTCGTGTACATGCTCCTGTTGTGTATTCCTGTTTTATCACTTGCCTCTTATCTGTGTATTTTCAAAACAGTGCCATTGGAAGCTTGGAGAAAAAGGATCAGTAAGCCAGAATCTGGGTTCTTATACCCAGATTTGACATTGCTTTATTGCATGACTTTCTGGAAAGTCACTTGACCTGCTGTTTATCTGGTCTTGTTTCACCAAATAAAGTTTGGGAATGAAAATGACAAACTGGAAGCTATTAAATGCAGGTTTGAATATATTTTGAATTTGGGGACCCACTGTCTTTGAAGGAGGACATAAGTCTTGTTCAGTCTTTACTTTAGAACTTACTACTATAGGAATTGGCACTGTTTGATGTTACAGCTTGAAGATCATTTTGTTGCTGCTTTTTGGTAGTACAGCAAAAAATGCACATCTATGGTAGAGGACAGATTTGTAAGTATGGCAGACTGTGGCCACACTGTGTCCCAAACAGCAGGCATGCTGTTTGCTCTCACAATTGTTCTGTCCAGGCAAGGTCAGAGCTTGAGGTGAGTGTAAAATGAATATCCTACAAAGCATGAGGAAGATTTGTGGAAATAGCCTGCTCCAGTGAGAGGCAGCCGTCCTCAGGGATAGAGAACAGAATTTTCTGCATTAACTTACAACTGGTTCCTGGCTCTTCCTAATCATGTTTGTCTGGTTTCTTTATACCTCAGATCCTGTGGGAGATCACAAGGTTCTTCCTTCTGGCGATTGAGCTGAGCGTGGTGATTCTAGGCCTTGCCTTTGGTAAGTGTCAGGAGGTTTACTGAGTGCTGTGAATGTTTCCTATTCCCTTCCTTTCCTCAGAGACCACATCTGTAAGTGTGTACATTAAGGAGCACTAGAATAAAGACAGAAAACAAACTGGACAGTTTATTGGTAACGGTTGAAAGCCTGGTTACATTTACAGTTCTGCAGTTTGTGCAGTTTCAGGGTTTATTTGTGCTTTATTTGTTTTGCACGTGGTGAAGGAGTGTGCAACATGTGAAGAAGGCCTTTATGCAGAGATCAGCTGCCTGATCTTTGCATGAAACACATCTCATTCAAGATAGTTGTGTTTGAGGATACTTCTATCACCTCACTGTTGTTTAGTTTTATTCTCTCCTGGCTTCATTTGATTCATTTAGCTGTACCTTTGTCACTCTGCATTCAGTTGTATGAGTGAAAATGCTGTTTGGAGCACACCTTGCTGACGGGGAGAGGGAATGTAGTAGGTGTCTCTGCTGTGTCTGCAATTGAGACATGAACACTGGTTCTTCCCACTTTTGTGGGATCATAAAGTAATTTAGGTTGAAAGGAGTTTTTGGAGATTGGTTGCTCCATCATGTCCCAGTGTACATACTTCTAGATTGTTAGGCTTTGCCTCCTTGTCACTGTTTTTCCTGAAAAGAAACAGCAGTCTGTCTGTGTAGCTGGTAATGGAGTTGTTCCTGCTTTTTTTTTTTGGGGGGGGGCCTCATAGCCCCAGTGAAAGAACTTGTTTATTTTCTGTATATTAGTGTGGGCAGGGAGGAAAGCAAGTTAAAACCTATTGTTTTACAGGTTTTGTTTTGTGTTTCAAAGGATCAGCTCTCCAAGTGGAAGCAGTTAACAAAGGTTAAGTGAGCTTCAACCTTCCTTTGAGGGCCTCTGGAAATGCAGATGTTTTATTATATTTGTTTTGGGGTGAAAACCTGTGTTCCTTAATTCCAGGTCATCTGGAGAGCAAGTCGAGTGTGAAGCGTGTTCTGGCAATCACTACAGTGCTGTCTCTAGCATATTCTGTCACCCAGGTGAGTATGTCAGAGCAGAAGAGGTTAATTGGCTTGAAGTCAGCTGTGGGGCTCCTGCCTGGAATGTGGGGAAAAGCAGCAGCTTTGCTCTTTGGACTAGGTTGTGGGGAAAGACTGGATTCTTGTGGTAGTGTATGGGGGTCCCAGAGTATACACTAGACCATATCACACTGTCCTTTTCATGGTGTGAATGGCTCAGCCAGGGTCAAGAAATAAGGAGGAAATTTAGATGGATAGTTTTGTCCAACAAATCTTGGAACAAGAGCTAGAGTTTCTCACATGTGTGCCACAAATGCAAACTAGATGGAGGCAGCCCAAGTGTGTTCATTGGGCTGTGCACTGTGCTGCTTGTCTCCTTCTCTTGAGCTGAGAGCTCTTGCTTCCCTTCAAACTAGCAGCTGGCTTGCTAGCTCCATGGATTAGCTCAGTCCATCTCTCTGGACAATGCAGCGTGTGTCTGGTGTTGTTCTTCTCCTTAATACGTAAGTGGCCAGCCTTGTGCCTCTATTTGAGGCAGTACCAGAATAACAGACAGTTGTTTGATCAGGCCCTTGTGTGCAGTGGCAGTGAGCTGTTTGTTACCACATGACACTTAATTGGGCACCTACAGCTCCGACACTTGATATACTGGATCTGGGTTTAGTGATGCTTAGAAGTGGTTTTCTTACTCCACTGTCTGTATGGTAGCTTCTGCTCTTAACTGTTTTTGAGAGATTTAAATGAAGGAGACAGTCTCCTTTCCCAGCTGTTACACAAATGCAGGCATTTATATTCTGGATACAGCAGGGAAGGTGTGCTTTGAAGATTGGAATGAAACTGTTTGAAACAGAGGGCTGTGTCCACTCTCCTCCTTTCACTCTGTCTCTTTTTCTGGAATATCACTGATACTGTTTTCATTTAGATACTCATTCTTGCCATTTTGTTCCCCTCATGTTTTGTTTTGTTTCTTCCTCTTCTCCTGGGTGAACATAACTTGGCCTAAGCAGGGCAAAATTTGTGTTTCAGGTGGCAGAGACAACTTTTATTTGAACTTTGAACGTAGTCTCTTTTATACAGACAGCCACTGTAATGAGGATGCTGACTGTAACAGTACTGTGATGGTGCCTTTTCTTTCCTAGGGGACCTTGGAAATCCTCTACCCTGATGCTCACCTCTCAGCTGAAGACTTCAACATCTATGGCCATGGAGGGAGACACTTCTGGCTTGCCAGCTCTTGTTTCTTCTTTCTGGTGAGTATGAGGCATGTATTAGGCACTTTGACAGCCTCTTTGTATTTTCTGAATGGGACAAGGAGGATGATTTAAGCATAATAAGGCCCTGGGTCCTTCCTGCCTGATGTGCAGTGCAGTATTGATGCTTTTCATGAGGCAGTGAAGCTGAACCAATAAAGGTGTGAACTACAGCCGCTGAATTCAGGTGTTCCTCACTCCCTGTTTCTCAATGACTAGCTGTGCTGATGAGGTGAGGTGTGGAGCTCTCACATGTGCACTGGGTTTAATAATGGAGGCCTGTGCCACTAATATGAGGCACCTAGGAGGTTCATGACACAGTATTCTGCCCCTACCAAGCTTTCTAAGCCACAGAACAATATTTTTTTTCTTTTGCCCCAACAGGTCTATTCCTTTGTGGTGATTCTTCCAAAAACTCCTCTTAAAGACCGGATTTCTCTGCCCTGTAAGTGACTGTAGTGTTTCCATCATGTAAGTGGGGCAGCACCAGGATAAAAAATAAGTGAGGGGAGTAAGAGGTTCCTGTATGTGGCTGTGCTATGGATGCATCCTTCTGTCTCAGCTGTGGAATTCTTTCTCTGCCATGTCTCTGCATGTGTTGCCAGGGCCATGTGCTTTCAGAACTCATTTTCTGTGCTTGCATGCATACACATGCAGGAGGAGATGTTTAACCCTTTATACCTGTCAGTCCTGGCAGCATGGGACAGAAAAATTTGGTCTTAACTGCTGAGAGTTTATAAACAACCAAGATGCTGAGATGCTTGCATTGGGTTTGCTGTCTCTATTGAACAGAATCTACTGTTTGCACTGTGCTGGTGCTTATGAGATTGAGCTTCATTTTTATGTCTGTGCCTTTCTCACAGCCAGGAAGAGTTTTTATGTTTACGCTGGGATCCTGGCAGTGCTGAATCTGGTGCAGGGTTTGGGCAGTGCCCTTCTCTGTGTGGATATCATAGAAGGACTGTGGTATGTATGTTGGGGAAGGAGCCTACAGCCTGCTTTCTAATGTTGCATTTGTGTCCTTCAAAAATGCCTCAAGAAAACAAACTTCTGCAGTGTTCCTAAGGAGGAATAAAGCTATTGTTTGTTTCATGGAAAAAACTCACATTTGTGGGGGTCTTTGGAGCTTCATGTTCCACAGTGGTCTTGAGGTGGTGAACAGGAGTGGCAGTGTGAGTCAGCTGAAGCCTGATCACTGGCTTGTTTCTTAGAGAATATGTGAGCAAATGGTCTGTTTGCTAGAAATACAAGATACCTTTAGTCATATCTGGAGTCTCATTCTGCAGTTCAGATCAGTTGTTTTCCATGAGCCAAAACTGGGAGAACTGAGACTTTCCTTCGAGTCAGATCCTGGGATGTGACATGGTTCCCTTTCAGGGTGTCTTGGATCAATGACATGATCCTATGTCATTGATCTGTTAGTTTGCATCAGTCCAGATTTGTTTAGCATAAGGTTTGTGCTCTGCTTGCCTGCTCTTGAGGGAAATAGAATCATTTCTTCTGGGTGGATGTGGCTGGGGTTATCCAGCTGTATTGTTTGAGTCCTAAATACCTTCATCTTCCCTTTTGCTTTTGACAGCTGTGTTGATGCTACTACATTCCTTTACTTCAGCTTCTTTGCACCTCTCATCTATGTGGCATTCCTGAAAGGCTTCTTTGGGTGAGTAGCAAGAACAGGGGTTTAGAGACTGACCACTGTTATTTGATCTGTGCCAGATTGTTTTCCAGCTGTAGAATAAAGGCAATGACTGCAATGACTGGAATGCCATTTAGGGAGCCAATGTTTCATTCCTCGCTTACTGATTTTCTTTGTGGTCCTGCACTGGCCACTTCTATCCAGGGCTCTCCTGTGTACAAGGCAGAACCAATAGTTGTATTTCCCTAAGCACCTCTCTCTGTCACTTCAGTGTCTACATCCTATTTGTGCAAAGTTCTGCTGCCAAAGTCACTAAATTAGTTAGTGAGGGACTGAGTCCTGGCAGATTAAGCTAGCACAAAGTGAGTCTTTAGGAGGTTTACTGGTTGAACAGCCCTTGGCTCGGGTTTCCTATACAAGGGCCCAGTCCCCATCTGAAAGCTCTGTCCAGTGTTGATTACTGGGTTGGGTGTGCCGCCGTGTGGCCACTCAGGAGAGATGCATGTTGGTAGGAATTCCTTTTTGTAAGCTGAACGTTTTATTGTCCTTGAGCGAGAGACCTCAATCAGGCTTTAGAATAACTAAGAATAAGGAAGTACTCCTAAAATATCAAAGTGTTTCTGATGTCATTGAAATCAGAACAGTATCTGGAGATAGAGATAGAAAGTGCTGATTTGCAAGTGTTTGTATTTTGATTTTCCTGTTGCACACAGGTGGAATGAGAAATAGAATATTTTTGTTGCTTGCTTTGAAGTCCAGTGATGCCTGGATGCTGCTCTCAGTAATTCAGAACTCAGAAAGAGGAGAACATGCTTGTGACACCGATGTCAGGACTGCTGTTTTTATTTCCCCTAGGCAGCCTAGTCCAAAGCTACAGTTAGCATTGTTCCATGACAGTTATTCCACTATGACTATATCCAGACTGAAAGCAATAGGAAAAGTTCTTTAATAATTAAATACATGCTGTTTCAGTGCTACTGAGTTTCAGTTAAGGGTAAGTGGCTGTTATGAGATACTTTGCTTAAACGTGTATTTTAAATCCTTAATGACTCCAGGTCTGAGCCGAAGATCCTTTTCTCCTACAAGTGTCAGTTGGATGAACCTGAAGATGTGGATGTGCACCTACCCCATGCTTATGCTGTTGCCAAGAAGGAAGGAATGGATTCTGGGTTCTACTCAAGCACTCAGATTGATACCACAGCCTACCTGGATGACGTGGCCTCTATGCCATATCACGTGGGCAGCATCAACAGCATAGACAGCGATCGTTGGAAAGCTATCAATGCCTGAGGCAGGGCTCCCCCCTGCACCTTATGAACTCCCTGATGCTGAGGATGTTAGGATATCCACTGGAAATCTGTTCATCGCTATCTGCTGTGGCTTTCCTCTTTTCCTTAGGATTTCTGAAACCTATTGTGGAACTAAGTTGGCAGCCTTTTTGGAGAGAATATTTCCCGTCACTGCCTGAGAGCAATCCAGAACAGTCCTGTTCATAAACCTATAAAGACTGAACCTTCCTGATTCTTTGCGTTCCAGATGTGAATATGGCCCAGAAGAACAGGCCTGATTGGCGCCTCCTGCTTTTCAATGACTGACAGCACTTGTCTGCCAACTAAGGGAAATGTCGTTTAGAAGCTGTTTATTGGACTGTGTATTCTACACACACGGAGAGAGTTTGGTGGTTTAAACCAAAGTTTGTGTTCCTGGGCTTTCTCAGGCAGCACAGTTGTCTGGATCTTATCACAACCATGGATGGGTGGCAATAGATATGTCTCAATGGTGAAGCTGCTCTGTTGGACTCATCTCTAGTTTCAGCTAATGCTAATGAAAACTGTGAATTGCAATTGTTAGGAGTTAAAAGGATTGCGATCTGAGTGTGTAGGAAGGAGAAAAGAGGTGTGAAGAGAAATGAGCTGCCTAATGTATCCTAGGGCTGCTCTGGGAAGCACAGCTGGTATCTCGCAGCACCTGTGTGAGCTGACACAATAATAGGGAGGCAGGACAGGCAGCTACTGCCCAGCAGAGCTGAAGTAGTTATGAAGCAATCTGTGGAGGCTGCACTGCTGTCCATCTGAGCTCACAGGAACATCTCAATAACAGCACTGAAGCGGGGTGAAGTTTCAAGAACACAGCATGTACAGTAGGTATGTGTTACGTCTTCACCATGCTTCATGGCAGGGTCTTGGAGAGGGCTGTGAAGGAAGAGGCTGTCTGTGCTGATGAAGGCTTCAGAGATGTTCCGATGCCTGAGGCAGAGTAGAAGCTGATGAATCTGAGCTGTCAGTGTCTAGTGACTGGGAGTTCTTAAACACCACAGGCATCTTAAGATCAAATTGGCCGGTGTTCTAGGTTGGGTGGGAGGTGGATGCTCTGGTAGAACTGCTGTGGCAGTGTCCACTTGTGTTACAGTTCAGTTCCCCAGACTTCTAATGACCTTAATAGGCTTTTCATCTTGATACATTGAAAATACTTACGGGCATGTGAAGTGTGGTTCATTTAAAAGCTATCTGGAACTTCTTAGTCTCTTCCACACTGGAATAGGGACTGTTGTCAGAGCTGTTTCACATGCGGTTCCAAGACAGTTTGTTCCAGTTCGGGGACTGTTGAGCTGATAGCTGCAGTAAACTGGTTTCTGAGGCAGACTGTGCTGTCCAAGGACGAAGAGGTTTATTCTTCTAGCTTTGGGGAAGTCAGCTTTGGGGGAACCTACCTGAGTCATCTGGGTAGGTGGAGATCTGCTGTAGGCAATAGTATCTTCCCATTAGAAAGAGTAGAAAGAGGGGAAATTTGAAACATTTTGGCACTGTGCATCTCTTGCCCCACCTCACTGCTGTTCCTGAAAAAGAACACTGGGGTAAGAGTTCCTGGGGAAATCATCACGCAGGGTGCAGCATGGAGGTATCAGTTTAGAATCATGAGTGTATGCAGCGAATGCATTTCCCACTGTAGGGGAATAAATAGTTTGGATAAGAACACAAGGTTCCTGTCAGTTGACAAAACTATGCAGGCCCTTCACTTATCTTTTATTTCGTTAATGAGCAATGCAGCTTCTCAGTTCTGCAGCCTGGGGACTTTGCCCTGCAGGCTTCTGGGTAGCATTGACACCATTAATAATGAAATTCTTTAAATTCCACAAAACTTTTTGTTTTATCAAGTGAAGAAAAAACTTCCACGTGTGAGAGCTGGAGTGTCTAGCCTGCCACATTTCTCCTGCTGTAATGACTATGGAAGGGGTGGACAAGCAACTGGCCTGGCCAAGTCAGTCCTTACCACATCAGAGAAGTTTCTGTGCTCCTTCTTTTTCTTGCTGTGAGTCTGCATCAGCCACATTTTACTTGTGAAAGGGATGGATGATGTGGTGCCTGAATTGCCTCGTTGCTGCTCTTACTGTGGCTCTGATCCTGAGCTGCTGTTAGCAAGCATGGGGAAACCTGCAGAGCTTCCCTAGAGTCTGTTGACCTTGGACAGGTCTGAAAGATTGGAATGTCTAAGCAGATCTGCTGTGCAGGTGGTCAGTGTGTCCACACTGTCCTTTGCCAGCAGGACTCCAGTATTTCTGGAGCTTCCCATGTTGCTGGGGAGCTTCTGTGCTAGGTCACGGACTGACCTTCCTTCTGGTGTGTTTCTATGTATATAAGGCTTTGGGCTGTATTCACAACAGGCCTTGAGCAGAAGTGTGTGTGTGTGGGGTGTGTAAAGAGTCTAAATATAGAATAAATGTATATTTTTGTTTGTAAAATAAAGAAATACAATGATGTTTGGCATAAATGGTTATACTTTCTTAAATGATCTGTGTTGTGGAGTATTAAAAAAACAAGCTTAGCAGATATTAATGGAGTTACATGGTGCCTTTTTACAAGAGACAGAATTTTCCCTTTCTGGAAGCCTAGGACAGCAGTGATGTTCAGGTATAAGCAGTTGAGTTAGTCTTCCGTAACTGGATCCTGCTGTTCCCAGGTGTCTCCAGCACTGGGGGCTCTGCTGTAGGCAGGGTTTCTTCCTTAGGAAAAAGCCTGTGTGGCGAGACTTCTCGTTCTGGGCTTTGGGATGAATGGTGATGGGCTTTTTCAGCGCCAGCAGCTGACGCTGCTCTGTCACGCTGCACTCTTGAGAACTCCAGCAATGGCGAAAGTCCCCAAAGAATTGCACAACTATTCGCCGCTTGCAGGACTAAGCAGTAGGACGGGGCTGTCTGCCGGCCGGAACAGGGAGCTCTGGATGTGCCGTGTCCGCGCAGGACGCGCTCGGACGTCTCCGCCGCCGGGCTGCCGCCTCCGGACCACAGCTCCCGTGGTGCCCCGCGGCCCGCCGCCAGTACGGCGCCACGCGATTGGCAGCCCCGGAGCCGCCCGCCAATGGGAGCCCGCGATGTTGGCGGGCGCCGGCAAAGGGGAGGCGCTGCTCGGCGCGGGAGGAGAGGCGTCCCCAGCGGCCGCCCCACCGGCATGGGGGGCAGCGAGAGTAGCCACGGCGGCAGGAAGGTGTCCTTCGGGCTGGACGAACGGGAGCAAGTCCGGGTGCTGCAGGGCATCAGGGTGAGGCGCTGCGGGGCGGCGGGCCCGGGCACGGCTTTGCTCGGGGGGACGCGGCAGCCCCGGGCCGGCCTGCGCCCATCTCAGCGCACCGTGTGTGCGGTGCGAGTCCGCGCCGAGCTCCGTGTGCCCAAGGCCGCTGTATTTCTTTGTGCCTTTGGACACAAAGTGGTCGTTCCTGGGTGATGGGCGCTGTGTGTGTGCGCAGCCTGCCCTGCCCGCGGGCTGAATGTGAAGGCTGCGTTCTGTTTGGTTCGCCTCCAATGGGCGCTGCTCATTCGCTCTGTATTTCTATGGAACAGAATTATTTTGAGATATCTACTGCCTTTCAGGTTGAAATTGGGCAGGTGTGGCTCTTAGTTTGTCTGTAGGCTGGAAGTTTTATCGCCAGTTTTCTGCTATGGCCGTCTGCTCGGTGGATGAAGAAAGGTGCTGGCTGCAATCTTTTGGGACTCCTGTATGGCCTCTAATGCCATCCCTCATGAGGAGAACAGCAGAGCACCTTCACTGTAAACGTGATCAGGCTTCCTAGCAAGGTGATTGGTGCCTCACATCTGTCAGTGTTCAAGAGGCACTGGGATAATGCTCTCAGAAATGTGCTTTAACTTTTGGTTAGTCTTTGAGTGTTCACACACAGTTGGATCAGATGTCTCTGATGGTCCCTTCCACCTGAGCTTTTCTGGTTTTGGAGCAGCTTAAAGGCTAACAAGTTAAATGTCTTTATCCTGACATATATGTACATTAAGTGCTTAGTTAACTAACTTGAGTAATTGCTTTCTCATGTGTGTGTTTTAGCTTACTGAAGATGTAGTGAATCGGATGAAAGAATCTCAAAGGGACAGCCAGAGGTCACCCCACTTACCCAGTGGTACAGCTCAATTTTCAACAGCCGCAGAAGGGAAACCCAAATCTCCTACAGGTACTGCCGGTCCCTGCTGGGTCTACTGATTTGACACCTGTAGGGGAACTGTTAGGTCAGGGTTTGAACTGATGGTGAACACCTGGTGAAGGGGTGCGTCTGGCCCAGGGAGCACAGGCAAATTGTTTGCATCTGTGGTTCCCATGAGACTAGGAGGGGTGGACCAGTATGGGGTCCCCCCTGGGCTCATATAAGCACCAGTCGCTGAATGAAGAGCATCTATTGGGCCTAGGCTGCTTCCTGTGAAGGACTGCCACAGAGTTATAGAGCCCCTTCACCACTTGGGTGAGTTCCAGTCTTTTTTCTGTGTATGACTGTTGGCCTACCTGCAAATACTTTTCCTGGTGTTCCCAAGAATGTGTCAGAAGCAATTTTGCTGCTTCCTGAGCAGAACAGCGTGCTGCTTAGCACTTGTTATATAGCATGAATGTATCCTGAGAAGAGCCACTGAAATGCTGTGGTTCTAGTTCTGTTGCTGTGGGGCCTTAAGCAAGGCAACTTGTTTTTGTAGATCTTTTTGTTTTGTCTTTAGGATGCCATCGTTCTCAGATGCATTAAGAAACTTGTATGACTTTGTGAGTGTAGAATTTCAGATAAACACACAGTAAGCAAGGCAGTAATTTTTTTTTCACGTTATCTTGTGTTTCTTGAAACTTGTTTTACTGTCCCTTTTCCATGCACAGAGAGTATATAATGGATGGGTGGGGAGATGCTGCTTTTTGTTCTTTGGAAATGTTTGTTCTTGGAGGAGAAGCATAGACTAAACACAGGTTACACGATACGTCGAGCGAATGGTGAGAGCATGATTTCTGAATTTGACTTTCCTTACACTTCAGAAAATGATTTGATTTCTGTTGGTTCACAAATATAGAAACAACTAGAAAATGGACTAAAACTATGCTTATGTTTCAGTATAAAACAGTGTCTGTGAGTAACATCCTTCCCTAGACAGTTGTGTAGTATACTTGGTTCAGTGTGCCTTGCTGAAGACAGTGCTGTCAGTATTTCTTTCTTCCACAAAGTCTAATTCCATCAGATTTGAATTTTCTTGAGAATTCTCTAGATTATTATTTATTGTCTTGATGGGATAGCATGTATTAAGTATTCTTATTGGATGATTCAGGCTGTGTTTTGTATTACAGTTGTCAGTTTTGTTCTTTCTTTCTTTCTAGGAATCCAGCCACCAACAGCAAGTAACTCTGGTCAGAAGGCTACAGTTGCAGAGCAGGAATTATATAGGAGGTGAGGTGAAGTTTGAGGAAAAGAGTAATTTAGCTCCTTTTATGCTGTGAGATAGGCTAACTCCTTTTATTGTGGTGCGTCCTTTCATCTTGTCCAAAGCAGTATCTATTTATCTAGCTAACTACTTTCTATTATCGCAATTTTTAGGTGATAATTAAGTACTCAACAGAGCTAAATATAGCTGAAATACAAGCCTATATGGAGCTCAGTTTGCTGTTTTTGCCTGGGCTGTTTGTCAGTGAAAGCTGCAGGTCATGCTTGAAGTTTGTTGGACTTTTGAGTTTCTGCCGATAACGGAGGGACTGTGAGCAGCTTTGTGCCAAATCGATCATGCATTTGGGGTTTTGCCCTTGTCAAGGATTGTCCATGCTAAGCCATGACCCTGGTGCCAGAAGTCAGCTGATCAACTTTTCTGTTTGTCTTTGGCACTCCTATAGGTATGAGCAGGAGCAGGCCCTGGTTCAAGAGGAGCTGCTCCGGCTGGCCAAAAGAGAAAGGGAAGCAGCTGGTGAGGTGCTGAGTACTGCCCTTCAGCGGGAAAGGAGCAGCACCAATGAGGAGAGGAAGAGAGCAGCTCAGCTGGTGAGTAACGGTGTCCGCTACGTTCCCATGCGGGACTGACTGGAATCACTCTGCTTGAAGGGGTTCATTAAATGTCACTTGTATGTTGAGTTTAGAAACTGCTTTAGTCTGAAACGCTGGTCTCCTCATAACTCTACTCCTTGGCTTAGAGTGTAGTCAGCAAGCTGCACCAGTTGTCTCTCAGTGATTCTAAGGCCAGGCTTGCAGGGAATGGCACAAGCAATGACTGTGCTGAGCAGCCTGACCTGTGGGGGAAGAAGGATGAATGATTAGTGTGCTTTGTGTGTATGGGCTTGTTATCTGAGACAGTGTGTTCTTTTAAACTGGCAAGTGTATGAAACAAATGTATGCTTTTAAACTCTGCTGATCTGACCTGTCATGAAACTTTGCTTTGTGTTCCTGGATTATGGTTGTGTAAGTACACAAATCTTAAAAAAAAGAAAATCTTGGATATTTATCATCCTGGTAACAAAATGTATTGATGCTTAATGCTCACTTGATACCATTTTATGTTGTGTTCTATTAAATACTGATTACTATGCCAATGCTGTTCTGCCTGTACACAATACAGTATCTTACTGGAACTGCCACTTCTTCCTGACTTGCAGTGGGATGAGGTGTGACAGCAAGGTGGGGCTGTGCTTCCAGCACTTGAGGTCAAACTGCCTGTTTGTGTAAACTGTGATGTTGAAAATCTTTGTTGAGAAAACTGGGCTGAGAATAATTCTCTTAGCCTAGTGCATACTGAAAGAACGGCTTAGGAAGAGGGGACAGACTTGAGCAATGCTTGTTGTCTCTGTGTTCTGTCCTACTGATCTCTTGCTTGCACTTGATTGAACTGAAGAATCTTTGTGTGTTTTTTTCCTGTGTGCTGAATAGCAATAGGCACGGCTTAGCCAGGCGTGTGATTTTTGCTGTGAAGCATTTTGAAGTTACAATCATAGAATTGACTTAGGTTGGAAAGGACCTCAATGATCATCAAGCTGAATAATAATACCTGGGGGCTGAGTAAATAAAATTTAAGTGAAAATAACTGTGCGATGGTTTGGACAGAAGACCCTTCTGGCAGTAACCCATTTCTGACAGTAACCCATGGCAGATGCTTCTGGAGTGCATGAGAATAGAGCAGCCTTAAAGCAGTGCTTCCCACCTGTGTACCCTTGCAACTTCTGCCTTTCCGAGGTATAGAGACTTCTTTGATTAAAAGTTGTTTGATCACCTGGTGGTTAACAGTCGCATGCCTTCTGTGAATGTATTTGTGTGTGGGTTTGGGCCCATCAGTGCCTTCTGACCCCGTGGTAATCTGCAGCATGTGGCTGCGTTTGTAGAGCTCTGAGGTTGCTCTTGAAGGCATAGCAGGAAACTTCTGCTTGCCATATTGTGCCCTACCCATGAGAAGTCTGCCTGCTTGCTGAGCTGTAGGATAGCGATGTCTGAGGCAGGCTATTCCTCTGGGTCAGCAGACACAGAGTTAGCTCTCTTCCTACTACAAGGAGCCTTATGTTTATGAATGCCATTAGCAGCTCTGTAAAGAGAGGTGGGGGAAGCTAGTGGATTCAGTGGCCAGCCTAAAGATAAGGCGTGCCTCAGAAACAGAGGCCTGCCCTCCTGCAGTGGATACAGAGAGCTCTGAGAGCTGTGGCTAACAGACAGGCAATAGTTGTGAAGTCTGAGGAAAGTACCTCTAAACTGAGCAGGGGGCTGACCTCCAACATACAAAACCTGTTCTGTTATCTGAATTAGCTTTTAATCCTGCGGTATCGCGTGTCCAGATACTGAAAACTTGATGTTGTGCAAAAATCTGATCAGACTCTTTCTGTGCAACCTGTAAAATGTAAGTATTGGCCATGCAGTCTGGTGCAAGACCAAGAAACTGTTAAATTTCATTGCTCTTTAACTATCTCTTGATCAGTCATAAATTTAAGACTCTTAAAAATGAAACAGTCCAGCCTGTGCTTCCAAAGATGAGGTAAAAGCTGCTGTCTGTTAGTTGCTACGTGTCTTGCGAAGCAGGAACTGTTTCTGTCGAGCTTTTAAAATTGTTAGGATCCCTATCAGGTTTGCTTTATCTCAGCTACAGTTTCCTTTCAGGCATGGTCACTTTATTCTGCTCAGTCCTGCTCATATCTGCCCTTTGTCTTCCAGTATTTTCTTCCTTTCTTTGGAATGGAGATTGAATGTTTTTGGTCACTCTTCTAGCTGCTTTCTAGCCCTCAAATATTAAGTAAATAATGGGTGTGAACTGCACTTCCATCTCATCTGTATCTGTCATCCCTCTCAGGCAGGAAGGAGTAGTGGCAGTAGGTGTACCTGGTGGTAGTCTGGATGCAGGTGGAATGGGAAATTCTCTGCTGTTTATAAAGGAAAGGGCTTTCAGTGTTCTTGTTTTTTGCTATGAGGGAAGCCAGAGGAAAACAGGACAACTCCCATGATGGAAATAAGTTGGTAATTTGCTTCTAACAGTACTTAACTTTGTAACAATTGAACATCATGCCACGTATCGTTAGGAAGGTTTGTTTTATTATTTCTACTTTGATGCTTGCAGTAAGGTCCTGAGCTGTGCTGTGCCCTGCCTGTATCACTTTGTCATGACTGGCTTTCTCTGACAGTTGTCTCTGGCAGTGCTGCTATATTCTTTTAACTTTACCACTTGTGGATCATAAATCCAAATATGATAGCTGTATTTTGAAATGATTTCATTTTGATTGTGCTGAACATAGCTTGTCGTTTAATTTGTTCTTTATGACTTCCATCCTTCCTTTTATTATTGGCAGGATCTTTAAGGCACTTCAGTGAGACTATGTGTTGTGAAGTCCTGCAGAGAGCATGGCTAATGTTTGGTAGGGAACTTGCTGTCTGTTTCTGGGCCCTTCATGGTTTATAGGGTACAAGTTAAAGCTTGATCATCTTTTTTGTGAACAGTTCACTGGTTACAAATGGATGTGGATCCTGTTTTACGTTTTTCTCTTTTTTAAATAACTTTGAACAAGGTATTTAGGTTCTAGAGAGCTTAGGTTTTGACTAAAACTCTTTAATGCTTAAGAAGTTAACAACTGTAAGTAGAAACACTGCAGCATTGTCTTCACTTTGAGCAAGTGTGGCTTTTGGTGACACGTGTGGGACTGGCTCAGGCAGAAGCAGCCTGCTCAGCTGCTGCAGAACAGCTCTCACCAGTTTATATCAGAAAATGTTTTCTTTGTGCATCTCTGCAGGATCACAGTGCTGGCTGGACTCTTCAGTAATTTAATACCACAAGTACTTGCAGGACAACAAGGGTGATAGGTAGGGTACTTCAGAGCAGGGCCTGCCCTGTGTGACTAATGCTTGTAGCATGCATGAAGTCTCATGTGCAATCCACAGGAATCAGTCTATCCGTCTTTTTTCTGAACTCTAGTTTGAGAAACTTCTGAAGTTGTCACAGTTATTTAATTCCTTGGCTGTGTTGTGAATAGTCTTGCATTTTCCTAAACCTCGAATCATTCCTTTTTCATTTCCAATTAATCAAAACCTCATCTCTTAACTTCTTGCTGCTTCTGGCTTTTTTTTTTTTTTTTTTCTTACCAACAAAAGAAACTTTGCAAGCAAAGCTGCTCTTTTTTCTTTTCTTGGTTTTGTAATCTCCTAATGCTGTGCAGTGTATGCACTGTGAGCTGTCGTCTCACAGCCGGTGACTCCCAGCCTGATGGCTTTTGCTGAAGCCTTTGAAACAAATCAATGTGGGATGGGGTTGGAGAAAAGCAGAAGCTGGTGGGGGGAATCCACACGATTAAGCGAAGACATCTCATTACTCCCCTAGAAAGGGAGGATTATAACTTATAAAATAGGAGGATCTCATTTAGGGGCCATATGTGCCTGTGTTATCAGGACAGAGGGAGAGCAGATAGAATAAATGAAATTAATACTTTGAAAAGAAGCATTATGCGGATTTCAGAATCGAACTAATATGATTTGTGCAAAGTCCTGAAGTTCTTATCTCCCCATTTAATGCCCCTTGGATAATGGCTTTGTCAGAGTTATTGACCGAGAGTCATCGTCTTCCGTACTGCTTGGAAAAATGAACTCAGAAGTGGGGTGATGGTAGGACAAACTTTGCACCACAATTAGCTGTTTCAGGCAAGACCGAAGGGCATCACTTGCTGTGCAAGAACAGACTGTTCACAGAGCCTAAATTGCTGGGGAGTCGTCCCTCGGGCTGCCGATGAGGGATGGCCGGCTGCTCCCAGCCCTGCTCTCTAGCTGGCTGGATGGCCGCCTCAGCTTTCTGGTGGCTCTTTGTGCTTTTGCTGGCCAGGAATGTGTGTGGGATGAAGTCCTTGCAGGCAGCAGGGCTTGGCCCATCCCTGGGTGTCCCAGCAGCCTATTTTGATTGGTCATAGGCAGCTGGATTCTTTTCAAACAATCTACTGCCCAGAAATAATCTGTTTGCTTTTCAGAGCCTCTCTTCATCCATCCCTGATTGGGGAAAGAAAGGTTGAAGACAGAGTGCTGAGTGGGAATGCCTGTGGTTGGGTCAGCAAGTTTTGATGTTGATGTGAGTGTGGGATTCTCAGCTTCAGGGCTTTGCACACAACATATTCTAGGTGTATGTGGTATGTACATGTTTAATGCATACCAGCTGGTATTTCCTTAGCCTGTTGGAAGGAATAATCCTATTGGCTCATTGGTGGAAAGGTTTCTTTGGTCTTCTGGTGACTGCTGAAGCTTCAAGCTCATCTTGCTTGTGTTCTTGCTTGTTATTGACCAGTGTTCCAGTTTAGAAGCAGCTGAACTGGAACTGAAAATGATTTTAGAAAGGGTGCTGAACCTGACTTAATTTCATTTGCTCTGTGTAAAGCTGGAGCTCAATTTCATCCTGGCTGGTTAACCCATAAGCAGATATCTCTGGTTTACACTGTCATTTCTTACCACTGAGATAATAAGCTGTAATGACTGACTGAGCTCCTATAGTAGCACAGTGTTTGTGACAGCATGGGGACATCTGTGAGGTGAGGCTGTTGTTT